ACAAAATAATGTTCTTTTTAGCAACATCATATGACCCCTTAAACTGATGGAATTTCAGGCCTAGTGACACAAGTTACTGGCTAAACACGTGGTCACATGATCTGAGGAACTTACCAATGAGAGAGTCCATTTCAATAGGAAGGTGATGAGCCTGTTCTAATGAGTATCCCGGAGCACCTCTGAGACCTAAACAAAACATATTGCTAATATTGTAAATAAACTTGCACTAAACATTAAAAAAGGTGGTTTGAAAACCTCAGATTTCTTCAACGGTTACGTTTAAGAACGTTGCAAATGGTAGTGCTCACCGACTGTGTTGTGCCAGCGGTTGACGGCGAACAGCCGGCTGCATGTGACCGTGACCGCAGCGGGAATGCTGAGGTGTGGCAGCGTGTTGGCCGCCACGTGCGTGACGGGAGAGTTGGAGGGGAATTTTAGCACCATGATTACATCTTGCTGCATTTGGTCCTTGAACATTAGAGGACTCTGAGGAAGGAAACACTAATGAGCAGAAGAGAGAAAGAGGAGGAGGAAGAGGAAAAATTGGGAAGAAAATGGAGAAAGGAAGGGACAGGGAATTAGAAAGGTAAATTACAATGGAGCAAACAAGGTGAAAACCACAGGGTGGGATTCTGGGTAAGGATGCAGTTTAGGATCAGTTTTGGGCTGGTTTGGACCATCAGGAGGGGGTAGGGCTGGGTGATATGTGTAACATCCAACCCTAGACAGCCTTCTAGGTGTAAATCAGTGTCCGAACCAGCTAAATATAAAGTTTATGTACTACCGGACTGTCATTTTGCCACTTTGGTCCATCACAACTAGCTGCAATTCTGAGCTACATAAAATGAAAGTAATAAAGACAAATCATGATAAAAGATGTAATAACAAGAGACCATATTGATCTATTTAAAAGAGATCTAATATAGGTAACTCATTAAGAAAAATTTAACATAGATCACAATAAATAGAGGTGTCTTGATAATAAAGACTCACCAGGTGCATGGCGGAGCTGCGTGGAGGGTGAGGCTCTATTAGCAGCTGTGATGGAGCCTGTCCAAATGACTGAAT